CTGCACTCCAGTCTGGGAGACAGAGTGAGACTCCAACTCAAAAAAAAAAAAAAATAGTGTATTACCCAGAACATCCTGAGATGCATAGATTTTTAAAATCCATTTTAAAAATACTTATTGCTTCTTTGCAAAGGAGGATTTCTAGAACCAAAACTTTCTTGTTGCTGTTTGGTTTTCTTCCTAGTGTATGTGCTTTTGTTGTGAAACGCTGCCAAGTTGTAATCTGATTAGTCACTATAGAAATTTCCCTCAATGCCATTAAAGAATTTAATAGGAGAGAAACCTCTAAAGAATTAAGAATACCATAGGTTTTGTACATTAGTTATCATTAATGATTTATGATTACTAGGCTAAGAAGTTTGTGTTTGAACAAAAAGGAGGAAAAGGAATAAAGTGAAATTCTCCATCTAGCTAACCGTTTTTACTAAAGGTGGGATTCAAACCCAGTTGGGTTGGCTTCACTGCTGTGTTCTTCACAATTAGGCTGTAGTTTCCTTTCCTAATGTGCAGACATGGTAAGCACGGAGGGCTTATGCTTTTGTGCTTTTAAGTATATCATTTCACCTTTTTACTATCATTTAGTGGCTTGGAAGGAGATTTTCTCTGGTTAAGCACAACTTTGTCTTTTATTCTCATGGCTAGAGGTGTTGGAACTAAAACTAAATGATTACCAAAGAGTTACCAAGCAAACCATCTTAGCTGAGTTGATTCAAGGAAGATGAAATTACCTCTTCAGGGAGACCTCTGTTCTATTTAAAAGAGTATCTCTTCCCCACCCGGTCTATTATATTATGATGTCATATTGTCTCCATGCCCTTATAATCAGGAATCATCTTTCATTTTTCTGTTTGCCTTTCCCACTACAGTGTATGTTTCATTTAGTTGGGGATCTTGTCTTGGTTACCATTGTATCCTAGCATTTTGCTTAATGCATACAGGATGTTGTGTTTTTTGTTTTTTTGAGTCAGAGTCTCACTCTGTCACCCAGGCTGGAGTGCAGTGGCACGCTCATGGCCACCCCAGCGTCGATCTGCAGGGCTCAGATGATCCTTCTGGCTCAGCCTTCCAAGTAGCTGGAACTATAGGCATGAGCTACCATGCCTGGCTAATTTTTTGATTTATTGTAGAGATGGGTCTCTCCAAGTTGCCCAGCCTGTTCTCGAACCTGTGGGCTCAGGCAGTCCCCTCACCTCTACTTCTCAAAGTGCTGGGATTACAGGCTTGAGCCACCACGCCTGGCCCTTAAAACAAGTATGTAAGTAAAGTGCTGTTATGGGGGCTGGCCCTTGAGCATTAAACAAAATCTTGTGTTTCCACAGAACATTCCCTATTAGAGGCTTTCAGATTTATGATGGGCCCATTCATCTCACCAGGAGCACTTTCAAAAAGTACGTGCCAACTCCAGACAGGTATAGCAGTGCAATTGGCTTCCTCATGAAGAATTCCTGGCAGATAACACCTAGGAATAACATCTCCCTTGTGAAGTTTGGTCCACATGTGAGTATGTTCTTGTAGTTCCTACATAGTGACTGGTGAGAGGAGGAGGGATAGCACGTTCCAAAGGACATAAACACAAATAGAGGATTTGCACCGGGTCTTCATTACTGGGAGGAGAAACCAATACAGAAGCAACTCCTAATTTCATGCACTCTGTCCCACTGAGTTCAAGGTGAAAACAGAAGTCCTATGTGACCTGTGATATTTTTGACATTCAGGTCGTATTGTGAAAGGGAACATGACTTCAAGTGATGACACAGGAGTTGTAGAGTTTCACAGGAACAAGTGGATGTACAATTTTGGGAAATCCAGTCTAAGAATCTGGTAGAGTAGCTCATCTCTGCTAAGAGATTTGGGTCCTGCCTGGTATTCTATTTGTCTAGAAGGCTGCTGCTCTGGAGAATTTGAGGATAAAAGGTTGGGAGCAAAGAGGAATATAGGGGTAGTGTGATACAAATTGAATTATTTCTGATATAAACCGTTGGGAGGTTTTTATGAAGATTGCAGAGAAGACCGTGAAATTACTGTTTACAGTACAGTGACTCACAAAAATAGTTTTCTTGGCAGTTTCACCAGTATCCCTTTTATCCATAATAAACAGGACAATCTGATTACATGCTTTCATCACATTTCCACTTCCTTGATGGCAATAGCACAAGAGAGATTAGTCTCAGATTATCTGGCTCCCTGTTTCCACAGGCTTCCACACCTAGAAAAGAGCTCATAGATCCCTCTCAGTCAAGTCCACACAAACTTTATGGTTGCCCAGTTCAAAATAGAACTTGAGATAGATTTACTGAAATCTACATCTGATTTTCTGGAACAGATAGAGGCACAGGTGCAAATTGGGATGTCAGCTTGGTTGCCGGCTTCTCTTTCAGATTATGTGACGCCAGAGGAAAGGTAGAACTAGACTAGTGGATGGCTCCCATGTAAATCAACCAGGCAGGTCTTTGATCATCTGTCCAGTGCAGAGGCTGGCTGTTCACTTACTGCCCACATGGACCTCCTTTTAGTCCTCCATGGATAGAGCTTCATGACCACTGACATGGACATACTGCAAAACAGTTTGTGGCCAGGCGCAGTGGTTGATGCCTGTAATCCCAGCACTTTGGGATACTGAGGCAAGAGGATTGCCTGAGACCAGTTTAGGCAACATAGCGAGACTTCGTCTCTACCAAAACAAAATAGCCAGGCATGGTGGTGTGCACCTGTAGTCCCAGCTACTCAGGAGACTGAGATAGAAGGATCTTCTGAGCCCAGGAGGTCGAGGCCGCAGTGAGCCATGATGGTGCCACTACACTCCAGCCTGGGTGACACAGTGAGACTCCAACTCAAAAAAGAAAAAACAGTTTGTCAGATGTTGCATTTGCTGTCCTAAAATTAGAACAGCATAAAAGAATCCATGCTGTTTAGTCTAGCAGTTCATTCAGCTTGGATTTTTCTATGGTGGTGATGCTCTGGAAACTTTATTTTTTTTTTTAGTTGGAGTCTCACTCTGTCGCCCAGCCTGGAGTGCAGTGGATTCTCCCAGCCACCACAGCCTCAAACTGCTGGGCTCCCGTGGTCCTTTCACCTCGGCCTTCCAAGTAGCTGGCACTCGCTACTGTGCCCGGCTAATTTTTTAAAATTTATTGTAGAGACGAGTTCTTGCCAAGTTGCCTGAGTGGGTCTTGAACCTGCAGGCTCAGGCAATCCATTCGCCTCAGCCTTCCATAGTGCTGAGATTACACAGACTGAGCCACTGAACCTGGCCGCTCTGGGAACTTTATAAAGGGGGCCCTTTGTAAAATTTGCTCTGCCTAAAAGCATGGAGAATGTGCTCTAAACTTTTCTCAGGTTTAACCATAGGAGGCGCATAGAAAAAGAGAAGCGTATAACTAAGATCTTGCATCTACTTGTCTCAAATATCACTGTTTGCCCTGAGTTGTTTATCATTTTAATGTTCTGTTGATTTAAAAACATCCCAGGGTGTTAAGTAGACAAAAGCATTTTAGATATGTATCTGTGTGGCTTGAACAGTGTTAGTAATTTACTGCTAATAAGAAGCAGCTAAAGACTGTAAAACATGTCACCTGCAACCTGCTTTGCAGTCCTGCATTATATGTTTGATAAAGACTTTAAATTAACTCTACCAGACATGAAAATTATTGAGCCAGACTCAATCTGTGTTGAGGAGAAAGACAGTAACTTACGCTTTTCAGCAGATTCTAGCAAATTCAACAGTAAGCCAGCCATACTAAACCAACACGTAAATTGTGTCTCAGTTTTGGCCTGTATGTACTTTGTGTGTGTGTGTATGTGTGTGTGTGTGTGTGTGTGTGTGTGTGTGTGTGTGTGT